AATTCGAACCTGGATTTATGTATCGACATTATGTTTATCAACAATGTCGCGTTTTTTGTCAGCATTGACAAAGCGATCAAATTCCGATTCAGTACTGAACTGAAAGATCGGACGAAGGATGCTATTTTACAAGTCGATTGACGAAATTTTACGCATTTATAATCATGCGGAATTTCGAATCAAAACTATTTATTGCGACAACGAATTCAAACCGGTATTTGATGACGTGAAAGATTATTTGGATGTGACCATGAATTATGCCGCGCCCAGCGAACACGAACCAACTATTGAGCACAGCAATCAAACATTGAAAGGATTATTCCGAACACACTATCATCGAATGGTATTCAAGGCAATTCCCAAGGTTTTGACTATTGCTTTACTCAAGCATGTGACAAAGGTTATTAACTTTTATCCTGCAAAGGGGGGAATTTCGAAATATTACAGTCCACACATGATTGTGAGACGAAAACCGGTAGATTTTTCAAAAGAATATGTTGCTGAAATTGGATCTTTTGTACAAGGATATGGTCACACGACCAACAACAGTCAACGATCAAGAACGATTGATGGTATTTATCTTGGAGTAAATGACAGCACACAAGCGGCACATATGTTACTTGATCTTAATACAAAAAAGACAGTAACGAGACCCTATGTAATGGTACTTCCGATCACCAAGCAAGTGATCAAAATTGTGGAACAGATGGCACACGACGAGGGCGTTCGTGATTTGCGTACTTATCATTGGAAGAATGGTGAAATCATATTGGATGGTGATTTGCTTGCAGGAGTGGACCCAGATGAACTGTGGGATGATACACATATTCCACGCAAAAATGAATACAAACAAAGTGATGAGAATCTTCGTAATGAAAAGATTGATCAAGATGAAATTGATGCTTTACTTGAAGAAGTGGAAGAATTTATTGAAAACTATGATGTTGAACACACCGAAAATGTTGAAGAACAGACAGAAGACAGGAGTGTTGCAAGTATTTATGAACGATTGAGACGGAAAAATGATGATGATAATTCCGATCAAGATCCCAATCCAAATGACAAATATCAGAATGATGAGAATTTAAATGAAAAGATTCAAGAAATTGAAGAAGACATTCAAAAGGACAAAGAAGATGTCGAATCACTTAACGATGAAG